TAATAATCATGTACAACATTACTGCAAAATAAAGCGATCTGAGTTCATAGTGTTGTTGGAGTAGTAAGTTGTCGCAACAGCGAGCGCACTAATAAAAAGCTACTATACTACACTGGTCTATTCGATCACCCAGTATTAGCTCACAAGATTTCTTGAGGCACAGACGACTGAAAGAAAAGTTGTTATACTCTGCAACCTCGCGCTAAAAAACACCTGTTCGTAACAACATGATTTTTTTTTTTCACAGACTGTCACTTTTCCAATTCATTTAACGAAACGAAACTTCGGCCGTTTCATATTTTCAAAGCCAAGTTAACCCAACCATTTCCTTAATATGCTAAGGTTTTAATTTCTCGAACCGTCTGTCGTTAAATACTCATTATCCATGTTATATTGAGAAAGATCATCACCATAATCTGCATCGTTTTCAATAAGACGTAACTTAATTGCACTACATTTACACAAAGTAGAACAGACCAAGATTTTCACGTTCTTGAATAACTGATCATCCATTTAGAAATAAGATCGATGAAGGAAAAGTGCTAAAATATTATTGTTTTTTAAATATACAGCTGGTGCTACAGCGACTTTTTAAGGGCTCCCTACCTTCAAATGCTTAATTTTCCAGTTTGTTTCAAAAATTTCTCGAGGCGAACATGATTTGTAGGTGGGCAGCTCAGGAGACAGGTTTTCGTGAACGGATATTCCACAATTAACAATAAATCCAAGTGTTAGAAATATCATAAAAATTTCTAGCATTTTGTGCGAGAAACACAACTTGTTTAAGGTTTTGGGAGTTTGTTCAAAAACAAAGTACAGTACCGACTAAATCTGAAGAGTTCTCCAGTAAGGAAATAATGACAAAGAGGACAAAAAGCCGCAAGTCATCAAATATCACGGGCGTAAGTTTTATGATCAGATAATATTATGTCTCTCTTTTTTGTAAATTCATTGTTCCCTTGTCATCTCATAGGATGTTTCGCTAATTTATGCCATTACTGTCGAGGTAGAGGATTTAAACTAACTCGTCAAGCAAATTGAAAGAACCTGCTATGTCTTATCCTTCAGTTTTAATGATAGACTCATCTGAGACAGTCTAAAAAAACTTCGGTTTTTTAAAGACACCTTTAAAGACAGAAAAAAATAAAGACAGTCTAAAAAAATTCTGTTTTTTAAGGACACCTTTAAAGACAGAAAAATGTAAAAATGAATCGGTGAGGAAAATAATTGCTGCAAACAATAACTGTTGATTGATGTCCTTTGGATAAAGTTACAAGCCCCCAAATAATTATTAAATCTCCTTTTCGTTTTCTTTGTATTCATTGTATTATTGCCAAAAACTTTTAAGTTGAGATGATCGTTTGTCAGTAGTTGATAATTAAAATTTTGTCCAATGACAAAAGACTTTGCGTGTTGTTTACCGAAAGATTTCTTATTTAATTTGATCATGGCAAAGTTATCGTATCAAAAAGAACAATAAAACAACTTAAGAATTATCTTGTGTTTCTTTTTCTTCTCTAATAATTACAAAATTGTAAACAGATGTTAGGTTCTTTGAAAAGCTTAAAGGGAAAAGATTTCAAAGTAACCACATTGTTATATGACCTTTTAAAGATTAGTTTTATTATATTTAACAATTATCGGTAATCAACGAAGAGGGGGTAAACATCCTCTATTTTCATCGACGCGGAGGGGATAATCGTATAAGTAAATCTCACTCAGACACCAAGGAATAAGCTTATTTCTGTTGATACACCGAAGAATGGTCGACGTCGGAATCTTAGCTTTTGACGCACGAATTTTTCTAGGTCTTCAGCTGCTCAGAAGCGAATGGCACTTTCTAATCACTTCCATTAAGCGGCACTGCATTTGCCGGTAACCCTCTATTTAGCAGTTAGTCATCCAAGTCCCTTAGTTAACGTAATCTTCACCTCTAGTAACGGTCGTGGTCACCCTTAACTGAGTCCCAAAAGCCTTCATGCGTTGTCCTCCACCTGTATTGAACGGTCAGTGAAAGCGGCACCTCTCAAATAAAACTGAGAAAAACATTTCAAGTAAAATAAGTCAGTTTTTCATCTCCCGGAATCAATTTTACAAGTATCTTTGAACGTTTTTACGTACATTGAGTTGTCAATTTTGGCATGATAAGGCGATTTTATCAATTTTTAAAACTAGCTCTATTCTGCGTACCCTGTATTAAGCGATCAACCTTTTGTTAAGTACGTAGTCACCTCGACATTTCCGGTGGATAACCGCTCATACAGGTTTGACTACAATGTTTAGGTCACAAAATGAAATGGAATTAGTTCATTTTCTTTATCGACTCATTCCAAAATCACTGAACGCATTACAAGGATCGTCTAATTATTTCTCACTGATCATTCGTGAAATTTGTTATGTAAGCGTTGGCAGATACAAAAATATACAACAGACATTGTCAGACGTTTTTTCGTTTCTCGTCACCAGTCTTTCTCAGTTTTCGTATTCTGAAGTTATAAAGTAGACAAATAAAATGTGCTTTCATAAAGAATTTCCCAACCGGACGTTAAAAGCAGGCGGTTTAGGAAACCGAAAAACTTGAACTTCCGCGATCTTAAAAAAACTGGCTGGATTTTTCATTCATTATTCATTATTTCCTCCCCTCCTTGTGGAGAATAGTGAATAGAGAATAGCCTCGAAGTTTAACTGAATTTTGCATTACCAGCAAGACAACATAATCCTCCTCTCTAGTTTTGCATTACACACGAAAATGACATTTCAAACGCCACGTTGCTCAAATTTCTAATTTAATTCACTCGATACCGCATGTCTCAATTAGTGGAGAGACGTTTGTCGGAATACATTTCAAATCTCATCAACTACCTTTCATGCTAAGCAAACTAAACGATATTACACACTATTGCAAGCTCTTAAAATCGTGACGATCAGAGTGACAGATCTATTGTATAAAAATAAAATATTAAAACGACCTGCACTTGAATACCATATCAATACACACCTACAGATGGATTAAAAAAAATCTGTCGGACATCTTCCTGTTTTGAATAAAAAAAAAACTCTCGAATTAAACTTCCCTTCCATGCTGGTTCGCGGGATTTACTTTTCTAGAACGCTGCGTTTTGTTTAATTGGGCTTGAAATAACCACGGCATTGGTTTTATCTCGAATGAGTGACAATTTTAAATATTAATTGAGGTAATTTTCTATTTTTTGGCAGTCATAGAAGGTGTGAGACTAAAAATAATCAACCAATTCAGCTGGCAGAACAATACAAGCGTTACATAAAGAAAAGAAAATATTTTATAAGATTCAACAAAAAGCGTGATATTTGTTCAGTTGGACCAGATATCGAACTACATGTCGAAAGATGAATATCTTTTTTTGCATAATGATTTTCCGTGGTCCGTTTAATATGAAGCACTTATTTCGAACGAGTAGACTTCTCGTTTTTATCTTTCTGCTAGTTGGTTTTTCGTCTAAAACACCGATCTTAGCGAACGAGAAAGATTTTCCCCCAGATGTATGTTCGCCACAGACCCCAGACTGCTATTTTGAACGTTTTTCAAAGCTAAAGTTACCACGAGTGGAACCGATACAGGCAAGTGAGATCTCAGTTTTGTACAAAAAATTCTTGTATTTAAAACCACTTAAATATAGCTACCACAAAACAAACCCATAATCTCATTTGATTTCAAAGCAAATATACACGTTCAGTTGCCGATTGGCCTGCGTGCATTTGAACAGACGTGATATTAAACCAACCTATTCAAAATTTTCAAGAAAATTTACATAAAGTGATCTGAAAAGTTCCAATATGAAGTGGACGGAAGGAACCTTTTTAATATCCAAAACGGAAATTCATTTTGCTCCTATCAGACTCAGGTTCTGTCAGGCTTAATCCTATCGCTATGTTTTGGGCATTTTCCTTTCCTTTCCCACCTTTTTATCTGATTTCTTTATGGGACTTAACCAGCCGTATCGGTAAAAAAAAAATCCCTCAATAAGATAAATGCCGCTGTCGAGGAGGGAGCGAGATCAGCCGAAAAAGAAGAACATTTATTAAGAATTTAGGGTTGAAAATAAATATTTTATCATCGTTTCTTGCGATGGAAGTTCAATGTAATAGAAAACTTTTGTCAGACATGAATTACTTGCAATAAATTGCCAATACATACGATCATTTAAGCAGTTCAAAGTCAATATCACTCAAGCTAAATCGATTACTAATGGTTTAACCGCGGTTTTTAAGTCTTGCTATCAAAGGAATACACGTAACTGCTTGTAAAGCTCGATCTACACTGCGCTAAATTCGCGAAATTGTATGGCTGAATAAATCACTTTTAGAAACGTTCATAATCTTGCGTCGAAGTTGCACCAAGAAGAGCTAAATTGACTGCAAAATGTTTGAGCAGATCTTGAGGAGACATGAAAATTCTGTTTGGGGCACGGTCCATTGAGTCACGTGGGCGACAGACGAGCTATTTTATCTTAAAAACACCTGTTTTTATTACAGTTAGAACTCAACAATTCACAGACATTTCGCTTTTAAAGATTTCCCTTCACGTGAAAAAAGGATGTGTTAAGGACCTAAAGTAACTTTTCTAGGCCACTTTTCATGTTTTTTAAATTATTTCTGTTGTTGAAAGTGTATTTTATTCATTTATGTCGTATTTTCTATTCTCTCAACGGCTGAATAAGATATGGTGGGAAGATTATCTTTGTCTTAAATGATAATTCATGAAAATTAGAAGGAGAAACGA